TGGTAAGAATAGACATCACAAGTGAGGATCAAGAGTGAAGAGAACTGGCAATCATGCCCTGAGGTTTTCCTAACTTTGAAGTTCATTGATTGGTAGTAACTGGCAATAGTGGATTCTACGGTGCACCTATATCCCCCTTCAGGTCTGTGGTATAAAGATTTCTAAGATGACCTCAAAGACTCCTGGTTTCTGGTGTACCCACTCCTTCTGCTAGTTATTCAGTCAAACACCAATGTAGGTACTGCTGTGAAGGGATTTCGCAGATATAATTAGTTTCCAAATCAGTTGATCTTGGGATATGGAGACTACTATCTGGATGGGTCTGACCTGATTACATGAATCCTTAAATTTGAGTCTAGAGGTCACGGACACCAGAAGTTGGAGATTCAAAATGTGGGGGATTCAACCCAAGGGAGATTCTCCACTGTTGCAGGGGGCCATGTGAAAAGTAGCATGAACATCCTCTAGGAGGTGAGAGCTGTGCTTGAGTGACATCAAGGGCACAAGAACCACAGTCCTACAACCACAAGGACTTCAATTTCTGCTAACAAACTGAGTCAGCCTGTAAGCAGATTCTTCCTGGAGCCTTCAGATAAGAACACAGCCCAACCAACACCTTGAGTTTAATCTTGTGATATTCCAAGCAGAGAACCCAGTCTAGTCTGATTGGACTTCTGAATTGCAGAACTGTGAGCTAATAAGTATGTGCTCTTTTAAGCATCTAAATTTGTGCATCAATATCTTCTCATGCACCAATATAAAACTAACCCAATGTCCAAGCTGCTCATTTACCCCAGCTGTCTGGAGTGCTCAGAACAACACCTCTCTCTGGAAATCATCCTTAGCCAAGTTCTGTCCCCTTACTTGAGGACAGCTTGAGTCTGATGAATGACTAATACTAGAATACAAAGCCTGGAGCCCCTTGCCTCAATTTGGGATAAATCTGAAGAGCTATCCAGTATTTGAGGTGTGTGTAGGATGGTCTTAAGCCTCTGTTACCTCACAGTTTAGCTTCTCTGTCTGTTCCATTCCACTTTCCTCACTCCCTCACAAGGAGTCTTCTTGAGAGCATGTCCCAATGTACTTGCTACATGCAAATCTCCATTGCAGAATCTTTCTCCACTGAACCATATTTAAGGCAATATGATAAAGGAAGGTGGAGTGATGGTAGAGAAACAAGATGAGTCTTGTCCCATGAGACTCCAGCTGAAGAGAGCAGATTCCTACAAGGAGGAGTAAAATAATAATATTAGGTACTACATGGCAAGGGCCAGTATTTGTAGGACTTGGTTGACCATGCATACTAGTTATGCCAGGATGGACTGTTTATACCTGTTGTCCTGGTGGTTATAGTTAAGTGTTCCAATTTGTATGACAAATTACATGGTCAGCACTCCCAAGTTCCACAGGTTAGGAGAGAGCAGAGGACAGAGAGGCCACTGTGGGCTGGAGTGGGGTGAGGAGTAGAGAAGGCTATGTAATGCAGTTTCAGAGCTGGACCTTCAAGGATGAGCAGGAATTATATTACAGGAGAGCTAAAAATACATACGTGTGCGGGGAAGTGGGGAAGCAGGACAAGGGGAAGGAGGAGGAGGATGAGGAGGAGGAGACTTGAATTATTGAAAAGACATAAGGAGTTTTTGTTAATAGATGTCATTTTATGAATACATAAACCAAGGAAATTGGCACACATTGGTCATAGAGGAGATGGGTGTCCACAGACGGAATCATGTGACACATCCTTATAGATCTTGGGCAAATACAAAGGAGAATGGGAACAGATGGCTTGCCTCCCACTGTCTGAGGCCAGACCATTGCACTTATCTGGGCAACACTATCCTTTCATCTCCAACCCAGTTTGCTTATTTGTCCTGTGAAGACACCCTTGTGGATTGATGATGAAAATCACAGTGATGATGTTGATTGCCATTCCTCACATTTGCAGCCCTTGAATCTTGTCAGGGTTGTTTCACACTCATCATTGCATTTCATATAACCCAGTTTGCTTATTTGTCCTGTGAAGACACCCTTGTGGATTGATGATGAAAATCACAGTGATGATGTTGATTGCCATTCCCCACATTTGCAGCCCTTGAATCTTGTCAGGGTTGTTTCACACTCATCATTGCATTTCATATAATCCTAGGTTTACTTTAGTTTTCACCACTGTCCTATGTAAAAGGTGAAGCAGGTATTAATTTCCTCATGCAACTGAAGAGATAAAGTCATTGGTTGAAAGAATTCTCAAGGGGAATAGATGTGGAGCTCACACGAGAACCTAGGCTCCTGTATCATTGGTTTTCCCACCACATTGTGAAAAGATAGTGGTGAATCTTTGCCCGACAGTGGCCTGATAAACCCACACTGCATTGCTTCTTCCTTTGGACTCCCTTCCTGGATTTTGGGTGCCCATTTGGTCTTCTATTGCACCCCCTTAAATGCACACAAGAGAGTTTACTAAACTGTACACTGATTTTTGTGGAGCTGCATGGAGACTCCCTTTGAAATAAACGATGTTATTTCATTCCAGCTTGGATAGGAGTGTTAAAGGGGAAACAGTTTTACAGAGTGCCTACTGTGTAATTTACCTCCAATTTTCACCACAACTCTGCAAAGGAAGGATTTCAAGGCTTGCATAAAGAAATCGAATTCAGAGTGTTGTAATCCCTTGCCTAAAGCCACAGATAATAATGGTAAAGCCAGGGTTTGAACCCATTTCTGCCTATTTTCACATTCTACACCTTTTCTACTAAGCCACTTTGGCTCTTTGGACCTTAGTGGTCATGGTAGGAGTCAAGGTAAGAATCCCCAGAGCCGTGACTCTTTTTGCTGATCCAGAGCGTTTTGAGGATGTGATATTTTAGCCATAGATCTTCTCCCTGGAAAAATACATATTTGTCCAAAATTTTGCATGAAATT